CTATCGGTCTCTCTGTTTGTTTGTTTGATACATTTTGTAACTGCGTAGTATCAGCAACCGCTACGCCGATTTTGATCAAATTCATGAAGTAGTGTGATGTAGGTCCATAGTAGATAATCCTGCTTTATTTTTCGATAATCAGTGATAAACAAAAAGTTTCAGTTTGTCCCCAAATTCATTTTCTTTTTGTCTTTCAATTGCCTAATGATTGCAGGGCGTAGTCAAAAATCATTTTATGGGGCTCAAATATACCGGATAATTTCGAAACCAAGTTTTATCAGTATATTTCATATATTCCTGATCACTCTTCATAGAAAATAATTTAGGGGGCTCAAGGTATTGAAATTGGGTTTCTAATGTTTTTTGGCAACAAATTAAATATGTATTCAACCGAAAATTGCATGAGCTACCACTGTATCATGGAAACAATAATTTTGTTTACACAGAAGCTCTTTCCAAGATTTGTTTAAATTGTTCTATTTCATTATAACATTATTTTGAATCTTCGCATCTCTTCACACTGCTTAGATTACCGTAATAATATACCGTGCATAAATCTTTATGGAATTGAAAACAGCGCGTGTATTATTCGTACAGTCGGTTGCAGCAGCGTGTCGCCACATATCATCGCAATTTCCAATATGACAAATGAATATGTTTTTTACACCTCACTAACAGCCGGTTATTTTGAACAGCGAAACCAAAACGCGAACACAACACGGATGAGCTTAATTAATCTGATAATTTATCGAAAATCGTACATCTAAATCCGGAGAATTGGCACTGTCTTCAAAGCAGCGTTGTCAGACGTATACAAGTACAAACGAAAAGAAAAGAGATCATTTCTGTATTATGAATGTATTGGAGAAGAAATAATCAGCCAACATCACAAAACCTAAATCCCAATGATCCTCTTGTACGTCCATTCCAGGGATTCCCCGAATTATTGAAGGTGTCCCAAAACAAAAGTCGTAGAGATCTTCTCCTGAATTTGCTGCTACAATTAAATGCGCTACGCCAAACTCTTATCATTATCTCGTGTTTCCTCTCACAGATCATATGTCCAGAATGGTGTATCTGGCGTCTGGACCCCTTTTTCTCATACATTTCCATTTCCAAGGATGAACCCACATTATCGGTTAGAGGAAGCATTATAACTGCAGAACATTATAAAATAACGTTCAGAATTGTTCACACTATTTTGAATTGTTGTGAGAAATTCACGTGCAACTTTTATTTCGGGTCCTCTCGTCAGTCTAAATGCATTCGCGCAGGTACCTTTTACTAGATGGGGATGCGCTATAAAGGTATAGAGGAATGTTCAGACTACATTGAACGAAAGCGACCTGGTAATTATCTTGAACAGTCTAGAAGACCAACGCGTCTCGATAGCGGATTATCTTATTGACAGAACAGCTGAACAGTCGTAAAGTAAGCGCCCTGTAGACAATATCTGCTCAGGGATGGGTCACATCCATACAAATGCTCCCTCAGCTGATAACGCCCAAACGCATATATAAGGCACACAAATATGACCGAGTTGACAAAGGCTGCAAGCGTTTACAACTTTAGTCAAGTTCTTTTAAAACTCATATGGCTTTTGGTTTCACTATAAATTAGGTAGCTGTTAAGCTTGAAGAATTAAATCATATCACATGTAAAATAACTCTTCTTTATCGATAATACTGAACTTGTTGATCCTTTATCTGAAGATGTACTCTTGTTTGATTTTCATAAAATTGAGAAAAACAATCTGATTTCAATACTGTTTCACCGATAATGACACCTATTTCGATATAATACTTCCGTCTGTATTCTCACTCATCTCCATAGGTACAAAGCTCAAAACTTGGCAACAATATCAAGTTGCCTAGCCGCCTGACCCTCTTCTGGCAGTGACAATCAGCAGTATTTGTAATTATGACAATGAGCATGGTTCTCAGACACATCGGCCAAGAGCTAGCGAAACGCTCCATTACAGACACTATTTTAACTACAATGGAAGCAAAGCGCGTCGACAACGCTCACTGCTGTAGCGTTCTCGTTTTCTCGCTTCTTGCGTCGATGTCTTGATTCGCTGTTGTTTTATTTTTGATTGTAATTAGAGTGTCTGCAATGTCTAGTGATTTAATGTTCCGTAATCTGTTGACGATACCGATACCGTAGAATTCCGATGCAAGCTGTGCCGTGTCAAAGCGAGCATTATAACAATCATGGAATATACTGGCTGGCATACAAACATCAAACAACAACCAGCAGAAGATTCTGATATTGTATATGTTGCAATGACGATAATTGGCATGGGTTTTGAACGATATGAACAAAGATGATTTAACCTTGTTCTCGGCCATTTCAGGAGTTCTTAAAATTTGGATAAAGCTAACATTTCAACAGGTGTGGGGAATTCCGATGAATATCTTCTAATTTTTGTGACTATGGTTCACAATCCTTTATGGACGTGGTTAACAGGATTTAAATGGGCTTTATAGTCAAATGAATACCATTTTACTTGAATGAAAGAAACAATTTTTCTTTTGAACTTGGTGTTACATCATGATGCGCCGATCACATATTTTATCAAAAAGGGTTCCTAATAACAACGTAAGATGATTCATTTTCCAATAATCTTAGCATAGCTATTAGCCTTTAACTAGAAAATCCTAAACTGTCTAAAATGCTTCTCATATATCATCCCATTCAGCAGCGATGCCGGTCGACTAATTTCGTTAGTAAATCTTTCCTTTCTATATAAGGCCATACGTCAAACAGGCCTCCTGAAAGCGGCAGAAGGAAGGTATTCCTATTTATTTTTGACCTCGACCGAGGTGTCTGTGTATACTTAAGGTAGCTGCATTGTGACACATAGTGTAGGCAGCTAGAATATGCATTATATTATACGGATGAAAACACGCTGTGGTGTGTCTAGTCGTCGACCACTGAGGTTCCTTTAGTAGAACGTCGTACATCATCTACCATATTTTATATCTTTCACGGTTCACTAATCTAATGGTAAACAGGTGTTAATGCATTTGTCTATGGGGATTCAACATGAGATTTTATGAGAAAGAATAATTTTACTGAATGTAGTCCGATGCAAATGCGAACCACTGTCACTATCTTATAGAACTACTGGTGTAATACCCTCAACGGATGTTGAATAGTAGTGACTCACATCACCTTATTGAACTACATAAAACTGAGAAAGTGAGAACTCTCCACTGTTCCAGATTTTTTAACAAGGTGTGTATTCGTCTTGGGCCCCGTTTGGCAGCAATTTTGCTTTATATTATCAACTACAGGATTTAATATCCCCCCCTAAGTATCCAGAGTAAGACATCTTTCCTCTTTTACTTGCGTCAAAACAGAACACATTTTATTGGGCCTTGGTAACAATTGCCAGTTTTACAGGGTATCCGCATACGATACAAACGTAATGTGACAGGCAAGTTTAAATAAAATAATATCTAAGAAGCTTCTTATGAACTTACTGGATCCTCAATAAACCCACAAATTTATAAATGTCCGAAACGACTAAATTATTACAGAATAGTTACCAATTAGGAAAACTCGTTTAGATCGCCAGGGACACACTAGCCTAAAGTAATATTCCAATATTTTAAGGTATGTACGTCTCAACCATAGTATTTTTGGAAAATCTGATTTTTAAGAAAACCAGAGTTGAAGTGAAACACACTAAATTTCTTTCTAATCATTCAAGGCTTAGCATTAACGAGAAAATTGAAGAACCTAGTGTTACTATACCAAATTAATTTTCGAGGTGCAGCGGATGTAAACATTTGCCAGATCTCTATTTAGTGCTTGAGCCATATCATCCCTGCTTACGGAAATCTGTCACTTTACTGATTAACATATTCCAACACTTCGTGAAGACGTTAATCAGTGGTTACACGTAATGTTTCATGATGTTTCTCTTGAAGGACCATGTACAGGGTGCGCCATAAAGATTCAAAAAAATGAAAATTATGTCTAGTAAAAGTTGCACGGTTTTCAATTTTGGAGGAAATGGGCACCTTTATCATTCTTTTTTCAACATAGTATTCTTGGATAAAATATAAATTAAGTAAGGACAAGTCACTGGTCAATCAAAATTTGACGTATCCAGTAAATTACCTTATCATTTTATAGCGTAAAAAAAAAGTAATTAGGATAGGTTGATATGTACTTCACTTTTGATACGCATCACGGTGATAGTCGCTTTTGGTATATAATGAACGCTTAGCTCTAACGCTAGTCCATCCCACTTGAATACCACCTCTATATGCATATCGGAATGGGCTTGTCTACAACAGCATTTCTGCATACCAAATTTTAATTCTAAACACTCCACAATGATACAAATCTCTCTCTGCACGCAGGTCGGAGATATAATCCTCTTAATATTCACCTTAAAAGTGTCGTTTTTTACAGTTGATTGGTGAGTGTGCGTATGTGACGACAGAGCAATCATTATGTATGTAAATTCTCTTATATATGAGTAATCATCAGGAATTTGAGCACTCTAAAATGTCGGTAAAATGGAAATATGATCTCCGGTTGACAGAACGTGGTCGATTAAATTTAGGCTGATATTAACACTCAACTACGAATAATTGGGATCATATATTTTATACAGGGTTACCCAGAATATGTAGTTCAAAAGTGGAGTCAAGTGCCCTCCACTTCCTATATTTTTTATGGTGGAAGTGCATCTCGCAGGTCTCTGAAGACAGATGCTTCAGAAATGGTCTAAATAATCACACTAAAATTTTTGCAGAACGCGTTGAATATACCCTGTATAAACAATGAGAGAATTGTGAACAGATATGAGATAACACTGGTAGTGGAGATATAAGAGTACAAAAAATTCACAACATAAACATAGCTGAAAAATCAAATAAATGACAGTGAAAAATTCTTTCATGAGATTTTTGAGATTGTAACATATCTGATATTTTTCGTAACAAAAATGTTTAACTGAAAGAATGATGGAATGCACATACCGGTGCTGAAGGCCGCAACTGGCAACTGCCTGGAGATACTCTCAGCAACTTCAGATGTCAACCCGTATATACCCAGAAGCTCTCGCATGGTGTTCATCGCGTACTGCCTCATCTCGTTCATTTGATCCTGACTCAGAGGAACGCTGTTCGGTCCGGGGAACTCAGATGGCATCTGGAAAAAATAACTTCATGAGCTTTGGTCACAATGCTCCCACGACAAATAAATGCTTGTGACACAAATATCTATCACCAAAGGGTCACCAATAAAGCTCATGTTGTAGATGCCTCGATCAAAAGCTCTTCCGATCTGCATCTGGCGATCCCATTGAATGTTGGCAGTTTAATAATACACTGTTGAAGTGAAAAAGATTGGTTTGAATGAGTTACAACTTTCTTTACCTGTACGTGTGGTTTGGAGAGGTTATGTATGGAAAAGCTCTGCGGGATAACTTTGGAGGTAGAGGAAGCATCTGGCTCACTGTTATTTTCCTCATCACCCTCAGCATCATTGTCACTGTTGAGGAATGTCTCATTATACTCCTCAGAATCGCTGTTTGAATCTGTGTCCTCTGTACCGGCTTTGCTCAGATCCATCGGGCTCAGTGGGGGTTGCTGCTGGTGTTGCTCTACAACCACCTGTAACAAAAGAACCTCTATAGCACATACGCAATTTTTTGAAATAGATAACAGGCACACACTAGCTTCCAACTTGGGCACGTCGAGCCTCAATCTTCATAACGGGGTTCAAATCATTCACAACAAGTTTTTCAACAAATATAAGCATTCCTCAAATGTTGATGCGGGAATCACGAAGAAAATCATTAACATCAAAAGGAGCAGGTAGCAGAATTTTCTAAAAATTATTGTAATTATTTACATACGGAGTTATAAAAACAAAGTACAGAATTTGCATCCTTCAAGTCACGATGGAAGATTACAGTAGTATCTCGCACTATAAGCCTATATAGTTTGCGTTTGAAATTTAAACAGCATGCGTCTGACAGGTTAACAATAGCTGTTGCAATGTAGCTGGATGAAGTCCAAGTAACTGCTAATTATTTTGATATCTGAAAGTTGTTGAAACTCTAGCCATTCGATTAATCATAAAAATGTTGTTTGTCATAAGTGTAAATGAGGCGGGACCATATTCTGCAAGACGGTATTAGCAAACTGAAGCAGTATATCATTCCAAAAATTAATTTTAAACGTGTTTATAAAATATTGCTGGGTATAAAACATACATATTTCGTTATCAGACACTTGGCATAATACAATATGTAGACAGCTTATAACAATTTCAAAAAGGATACATTATCCCGGTATATTAAATTGTAAAATAAATTATCTGTCAAAGACTTATTTCCATGGAAGAACTCGTAAAAAAGATATACTCAAGGTATAGTCAAAACGCCTCTTTGGGCGTCCTTTTTCCAATATAGCGGTGCGAGCGCAAAGATGCGAGATAACAAAGTAAAAATTCGTAAAAGGCTAGAGAAGGAGGAAATTTTGAAACCATGTCAAAGCTTTCTATGTGAAACTATTATATCGCATATACAGACTGCAATGAAAGTTTGGACCGCATCGAATAACTGACGAATTACTCATTTGATTTTTTTAAAAATTGGTAGGTTGGTGGTTATCCGCGATGTTGCCAAATCTACAGTTTTTCACAAACTAATAACAACTTTTGTTGTTCTCCTGGAATGCAATACATTTTGTTGTGTGTTGTGTGCGAGAAATTCTGAATACTTTTTATCGAACATGCTTTCATGTAGACCTCACAGTTTTCGGAATATTCGAAGTCAAACATTAATATTCAAACAATAAAAGGTATTTTTTCTCCTAGGCAATGACAGGGTATCGGAAGTAATTTCCTGTCATTCCAGACATTCAAGAGTCAATTTAGTTTTGTTAGTAGAGTTATAGAGAATGATTCATTTGACTAAAACCGAGAGAATAGGAATTCTAATGATTCTGGGTTATGGCGATCGTCGACACACACGGCAATAAGTTTTTTATTATTATTTCGAAAACTATAAGGTAGGTCTACGTCAAAGTATGTTTAATAAAAACTATTCAGAATTTCTGAAAAACTGTAGATTTGGCAACATCACGGATATCATCAACGGATCCGCCATGTTTCGAACCTAAACCTATCAATTTTTTTAAAAATTGGATGAGTCATTCATCAGACATTTCATGTGTTCCAAACTTTTGTTACGGTCTGCATGTAGTGGCGCTCCCAGGATTTCAGTCTGGGAGTTTTTAGAAAATTATATATAATTTATAATATCTGTGATGCCTCTCTAAATATTCTAATAGAATTTCTAGTTGTAGACTATGCAGAGGAGCGTTTCTTATTTTTTACGTGGAAACTATAAGTCGGTGAAATCAAGGTTTGCTCAGAAGGGTCTGAGAATTATAAAAATGACATTTTTAGAGGGCAAAATAGTAATGAACAACATATTCTTTAGACTACCTCCACCAAGAATCGCTTTATTAAAAAAATTTACCTTCCCTTTGACACACCTTATATTCGTTGCACACCAAAACTATTCATCCTACTCGAAAATGATACATGTAATTATTAGAGAGGTTTCATTAGTTTCATTTATAACGTAAGTGTTGGCACCGAGCTATTATAAAGACACGAAACGGGTTCGAGTGTCAATTTTCCAATATGGTGACCCAATTAGAATTAAGGCGGAGTTCATCGCAATTTATGAGTCCTATTTGTGATCAGGTAAATATCCAAAGAAAAATCTATTTCAAAGTATGTATGTTTTAATACCAGAACAGTGCCATGTGGTTCGGAGTTTCTGAGCTCTACATGAAAACAGAGTTGATCTCTGCAAATACGTTTATTCTTCATTATAAACTACCTTTATTTCAATACATTTTCCAGCTCTTTGCATTTGATTTATTCCATCTCTCGGAGAGCGTGAAAAATACCCGTTCACGGCTGTAATCATCTCCTTTCATTGGACTTCCCAAAGCATGGAAACAAATGAAAGCCAAGATATGTTAAACCTCATGGATATTAAAGCTATTCGAAAAGTAATTAAAAATAATTATTGTCCAAAACTATATGATGCATACAATTAACAAATCATCGTTGGGAGCAGCTTTCGACCGTCCACTGGTTCCCTCGTCATGGACGTCTGTACGACCATGTTCTTAGTCCAGCAATGGGGTTAAATACTGTTAATCACTTTCCTGACCTACCTACCATATCAAACGAAATTTCATCTCCGTTATAAGCAAGTATGTAATCAGTGCACACTTTTAAAACTTTTCAATTGTCCAAAACGACAAAAAGCACGTCTCTACTTCAAATTAAACCGTTGTGGAAAGAAAACTATTTTTCAGATCAGCTTGAAACTGCGCATGTGTCCAAAGTGAGTATCTATTACTCCAGCAAAGCAACATGTTTCCTAATACCAATGCCTTCCTTATGCGAATCCAAAAAAATGGCGTCAAGAGAGTTGACTCTGTACTTCCTACGCAACGTCGTCATCAGCTCATGAAGGAATAAGTTCTGCGCAATTTAAAATGATCCGAGCAAGAATATTGAGCTACGAACATTAAACGTATTGAAACAGTGCCACAATTAGTCCATAGACATTCTTTCCCTGCCCTACTGGTAGTTACCGACCATGTGGCAACGTTGTCCCTTTACACATCTGCGCGGCATCTCTGCAGCGAGTTATATTTCGGTTCGCGCAAGCTCCGTATGCTTTTTGGGCTTCAGTACGAATACATACGAGGGTTGTCTCAAAAATAAGGTTCCCAACGCTGTATCTTTGCCGCGCGTTTGTCGGTTCCCCCATTACCGATCCCAACAAGAAGCGCCTATTTGCGATGCTCAGTACCGGCCCGACAGCCATGCGCAGTGGAGCCATTCATCGCCGTCACCACCAGTTACGAAACTCGAGCCGTCATCCGATTTAAGCACGTAAAAACGTTACCCTTAGAAATTCATCGCCGTTTGAGTGAAGTATATGGTGTATAAGCACTCAACATGTCCTCAAATGGTGAAAAGAGTGGCGGCCGTACGAAAATCCACTATGAACAACGAAGTAGGGGGCCGATCGATCTACCAGGAAGTTGTGGCGAAGATTGAGCAAATCCTGCTCGAAGATCGGGAATCACGATTCGGGAACAGGCGGTTGGAATTTCCGAGACTACTGAAAAAGCTCAGGAATTTCAAAACTCACAAAAGTGTAAGACTGGATCACAATAATGCGCATCCTCATGTCTCACAACAAACGAAGGTCTTAATCGAGCGATTTGACATGCAAGTCATTGCTCATCCCCTTTACAGCCCTGAGATAGCGTTTCCAAAATTGAAGGAGCACCTATGCGGTCAACGGTTCGAGAAGGTCGAGCAGTTGCAAGGAGCAGTTACCAAATTTCTAAACGGGCCGGCGATGGACTTCTTTGAAGCGGGAGTGCAAAAGTGGATTTCACGTCTAAAAAAATGAGTAGAGAAAAAGGCGACTATGAAGAAAAATAACTCAAAGGTCAACGTTTACAATGGTGGATTCGTTTTTTCAAATACAAAATTCCTTGTACCTGAAAAAAAATGTGGGAACTCTATTTCAACTCCCAACTCCCAAATTCCAAACCCTACCAACATTTTTCTGAAAATGACCAGAACCCTCTAAAACGACAAAAAACGAAGTTTGAGCGATTTTTATTTTTTTCATTTGTGATCTTTTTCTCCACCACCACTAGGCCGATTTTCAAAAACTATAAAGCTTTTTCATCCTTGGCATAGTACTAACCCTATTTGAAAATTTCATCAAAACTGGCGGACAGACAGACAGACCGACCGACGGAAACGTTTGTTCATGTTGGACATGTCATATCACATCCAAAAAAAGTAATGTCTCAATTTCGAAATATTTCGCGATTACAATACTTTCGCGCCAGTTTTGGCACAGAAAGTAAAACGAAATTACCTAGTACTTCACCCTTTCTTACCTTCCTAGTGGCCATGGTCTTCCTCCGACTGGAACTGCTCAAATTATTATTATCACCAAGCAGGTCCTTGTTTCCCCTTTCCATGCCACTGCCATCGTCTCCAGTCTCCCCATCAGAATAACTCACATTAGAGCACCGAGGCTTGAAGTTCTTCCTTTTGTTGCGCTTTGGTTGGAGCAGCTCGCTGTTGTAAGGATGGTGACCTTGAGGGGATGCTGGCGCGTAGTTGTCTTGGTCGGAGTCGCTGGAGTTGGCGTTGGAATTGAAGGTAGAGTCGGAGGCGCGGTGATGGAAGTGCTGGTAAGTGTTCACGTTGTCGGAAGCCATCTTCACGGGGTCTGCAACAATGAGAATAGATCTATTTATTTATTTATTCGGAAGCAATAAGCTGCCTGAACAGATTACGGCAATCAGCAGGCAGGAAAGAAAACAAATTCATACAAAAATTCTATATATGTAACACAATTGTATTTACTCATGGGCTTGAAGTACTATGGTAGGTAGCTATATCTGGCCTCCATGGCGACGTTGGTCGATACCTCGTAAACATGAGGTTTTCTGACCGAAGCCACAAATATGCCTGGCTCTTTTTGGTGGCTTCTAGTAGTAGTTTGCTTTCCATCCTTGTTTGCCTTCAGCTTACACCCGTATCCAGATGTGATAAGCATATGTTTTCACCTCGGTGTTTTTGATGCACATTCATTTGGGCTTGATGAGGCCAATAAGCAGAAACATAAGTCTCTCGAATTACCCATCCTTCTGCTGCTGTTCCTGTATTAGGGCAATGCCCAGGATGGTCATTTTCTTTTCTGATCAATGACACGTATGGTACGTCTAATATTGACAATGAAATTTTCACATCTGTGCTTTTGGTCATGCCACAAACACATACAGAAAACCCAAGCTACAGTATCTTCTTTCCTATCGGCATTGGTTTCAATTTTGCATATCGTAACAAAGAAGAAAACAAAAACGACGTTGAATTGAACCATCAACGCCACACTTCCTGATAAAATTATAATGTATGCCTTTTATAATCCCCTAATTTGTAAAACTAATTAGCCGCCATTAAAATATGATAATGAAAATATTTAGCTGGGCATTAGGTACACTTTGTGTTCCATCGTCGGTGATATATAGCAGTGATAAAGGCAATAAATAATGTTCACACCTAGCGACTGAGACATAATTCCTAGTCTGCCAGTAGGAAAGCAATCGTCGAGTCGTTTTCGCAAATTTTAGCTTCGCACGCCCACTTTCGCACATTTGCACATATACGAAGGCATTTGGCGTGGTTATAATGGTTATTGGCACGATACGTAGTTCGCATTCGGGATATACGTGCTTGTTTGCAACTTTAAGTATGAGTCTATGAACGACATTCGATAGAAAGCAATGCAAAGGAATAAAGCATATATGTCTAGCTACCTTCAAAATTTACATACGCTCAAGTTAAAAACTCTCGACATGCAAAATTTACTTTCAGAATCATCTACTGATGCAGCACAAAAATGAGTCTAGCGAAGTGTCAAAATTCAAGTAAATAGACTCGTACGATTAAAATTTGCATATTCAGCATGCTTTTGTGTACAATTATGTGCATTTTTAGGATTCAACCCCCTGAGAGAATTTGCTGACCTTCTCATCAAAAAGGCGGGTACGCTTTCCCAAAATGTTATCTCTTGCCGATAAACGCCTCCTCCCCTCCCTACTATGCAAAATGACAATGATTTTGCCTGCCAGGGTGGATTTAATGGAAAAACATTCAGACTAAAAAGACCTTCAGGCTCTAATATGTTCATCAATGCTCTGAAACATCAAAACCACTAAGATTTTAGTAAGATTACTATGAAAATAGGGATGACTCTGTCTACATAGACAGGAGAAAATGCTTAGCTTAGGCTAAGGCATTGCAGAGTTCATCAGGAACTTGGAATAAAAAGACCTGTATCAGCGTATCTTAAGAAATTAATTTAGCTGTCGTCGAACCAAAAAGAAAAAACTAATCGTATGTAATAGCACCAAAATCTAGCATCAGAATGTCAATATTACATCACAAAATTAAACTCGAACAAAAGTTGTCGCCCGATGTTGGATCCGCTCGCATCGCAGCTCTTTCCAGACTGTCAAAAATTCACTCCGGTCTGGTACGTTTTTTATCTAAATATTTCTGCAAATGAACGCTTGACTCGGCGGACGTGTATCGTTTTAACAAAATTTAATAAAAACTTGCAAGAATTTTTCGGAAGCAGACCGACGTCCACAATTAAATTTTTACTTCTCGGAATCGGGAACAGAGAATATTTGGGAAATATTCGCTTTTTTGGCCGAACTTATTAGGCAGAGGTCGACGGCTTTTTGTCCACCGATCGTTTAGAGATGCAGACGGTTCGCATACTTAGGGGTTTTTTCCGTTAATACCGGATAATTTGGAATTAAAGAATACGAATATATTTCTTCGGATGCCGCTACTCGCTTAATCGCGATCGGAGAAGAAATATGCGTGTTTTTGGACAAAAAGTTTGGCAGGATGAAATTCAGAATATAATTCAGCAGTAACGTGGCCGCTCTGGAGAAACAGATTTCACCATAAGAAATACTCCAATACAAAGCTTTAGCTAAATAGCCAAAAGTGTTATCAAGACACTTGTGGAACTCTCACACTCTCAAGCTCCTCATACAGTGAACGATTTCTGTCGCACAACACATTTGTTTACACACTGTTGTACTTCGTCAACAGAACCATTGAAACAATGCATAGCGTTACGTTCGAAAAACTTCACAAATAAAAGCGCTCATGACGATTGTGAAGGACAGATGCGCAGAAGGGTGCATTATTTGGCCTATGCATCAGTCACCATTATTTCTCCCATCAATACCAAACGAAAAACCTTAGTGGCAGAATGTGTCTTTTAAAATTATTATTTATGCGAACCACAACTTCAAAAACAAATTGTCAAATTAATTCAAACCAAAAACTCACTCACTCTCTCCGTCTCTCTAGTGTGCCCTTTTAAAATGATTTTAGTAAAAACTGTTGCGTGTTATGATGTTTGAGATATTTTTTGATAATTTTACTTTTCAAATCTGTAACAAGATGAGTGCGTACTTCCGCAATTTTTCTTATAAAGCAAAGCGTAAACCGCTTAGACATACATTTACAAATATCCGCCGCAATACGTTTTAGTTGTAACCTATGCAAAAATAGCATTAAGACTGCCTTTTCCCTTTATTTTTTTTTGACCCGTATGTAGACACGTGCGTTTCTTGAGAAAAGTAGTGAATTAAAAAAGACCCCCTACTTCCTTATAAATGATTTCGGAAGACTCTACTGTCACGCCCAACTCATGAAAATGAGGCGTCCTTAAAGAAAAGAGCAAATATGCATAGGGACTTAAGATAAGTGTGAACAGAGAGATAACAGTAGATGACAGTTATCGTATCCTGTTATATATAAACAATACCACATCAACATCCGAAGCATCTTTTTCTTTAGAGAAAATCGATATGAGCTTAATACAACGTTTTATCAGCATCAGACCACAAATGAGAAATATACAAGTTCGTTATTTGTAACGGTAAAATACCTTGTTGAAATTATCTATTAGTCTTCAAAACTGGCTCCAAACAATAGCTGTATACATAGAAAAGAAGCGCGTATAATCCACCGTATGTATACACATAATTATTACCACATGAATGTGAAAAAACAACGGGTAATTTGTACCAAGACATTTGGTTAACGCAACACCTAGATGCCTCGGAGGCATATGGGAGGATGAAAGGAGCACATTATATGAGTTTTAATAGTTGTACGCTAGTTGGCTGATACCTTATTTTGCATCTCTTTTTATACTTTGCGCATCAAACACATGCAAAGGTGTGATTTATTTTCAATTTTTTTTCTATAAAATGATTAATAATTTAGTACCTGTATTCTTATTGATATTAGTTAATGACTAACGAATGAATGACGTACCTGTCGAACTAATACTGGAACTTGTTTTATATTTGAATATATTTCGGTCAACAATACAGAAAAATGTTCATGAACTTTTACGGATGAAGAGGAAGAATGCTAAGCTTCGCTCACTATAGGCGTTTGATTACTATTACTATTGTTACTTCTATACAGCAGAACCCCGACTATCCGAAACAGATTGTATACAATAATTTCTCCGTTTTAACCGAAGTTGTTCGGGAAATCGGCGCATGATCCGGTAGTTCCCCTTTCGGCGTTTGGGCCATTAGATTCGCTGCCGGTGATTCCCCAAGCGCGTTTGCAGAATTCACTGGTATGTGTACGTGTATGTTTGTTTCAGTCAGGTTCATAATCGCTAAGATGGAGCAGCATAGAAATAAACGTAAACGCGTTGTTATTACCATAGAACAGAAACTTGAGGCAATCAGACGTTTAGATAGAGGTGATTTGCTTAAAAACGTGGCAAGTGATTAGGGTGCGGGGGGATTATATCTGTGGTTTACACAGAATCGAGAACGTGGAATACCAATTTCCGGACCAATTATAAAGCAAAAGGCAGTCAACTTGAGCGAAGAATTGTTATTGTTATTGAGGCGCCTGATAACTTTACAGCCAGTGATGGTTGGCTGCATAGATGGAAAAAACGACACAGTATACGAGAATTAAAAGTTTGAGGAGAAAAGTTATCTCTCGATAAGTCCGCTGCATTAAGAATCTGGAGCTCCAGGTTACAAACGCAGTAAAAAACGTGTGACTATCCTTGCTTGTAGCAATGCTTCCGGTACACACAAACTTCTTTTGTTGTTAATCGGAAAATCAGATAAACCAAGAGAATTTAAACACGTCCGCCCCAAAGCTCTTCCAGTGTGGTATAAAAATCGCCGCTCTATTTGAGGACTGGTTTTACAATAATTTTGTTTCCAAGACAGAACGATATTTGCATGAACGCGGATATTCGAGAAAATGTATTTTGCTATAGACACTGCTCCGACTAACCCAAGTGAGGAGCAACTTAAAAGTGGAGAAATACGAGTTTTTGCCTCCTAATGTAACGTCACTGATTCAGCCAATGGATCAAGGAGTTTTAGAAAATTTAAAACGCAATTACAGACGTTTGTTATAAGAGCAAATTTTAGATCAAGTTGATAATGGTTGTATAAGTTCTACTTTACAAAAATCTTGGTCGACAATAATTAAGCAAGAAATGGAACCTTGCTTCGTCGTAAAAATAGCAGTGTGTGAAAATCTTACCGAAGCAGATGTTGGTGATTTTGGTGGTTTGTAACAATGGCGATGAGACGGTTTTAAGTGATGCTAGTGACAATGAGTCAGAAATCTCTGCCAAAATATCACATTCTGAGGGATTAGAAGCTCTACAAAAGGCGTTGACTTACGTCGAACAACAAGAAAATGCGTCAGCAGCTGATGTGCTACTTATCAAACGTTGGAGGGATATTGCTGCCAAAAATAGGAACAATGCAAAACGAGTACAGTTAAAATCACTTCCTTTGTTACTAAATACGCGTAAATATGTATGTTTGTATTTTACGTAACTTTATTGTGAGTCTAAATATTTATTTCCGTTTTATCCGAAATTTGGATTAGACGAAAGCACTTGGTCTACATTTTTTCGGATAATCGGGGTTCTACTGTATATGCAAGCATTACGGTTAGGGATATGATGCTTTCTTTGGTGTGGCTAAAATACCCATCAAGCAGTCCATGAATTAATGTACCAAGAAGAAGTCACTAGAATTGCAACCAATTAATCCAAAAGCAGACAAAACAGTTTATACAAGAACAGGAAACCCGCATTTACAGGGATCCTGCGTAGATTTAATAAGGTCATAAGAGCCACAGGGGTTCACCGTACAAAACATTATCATCTGAACCAACATTCTTTTTTTATACTCCAACCACCACGAAGGCCTAAACACCAATGGGGTACCGTGGAGCTATAGAGGGATACAGTGGAAAGGGGGGACGCCACACGGACTCTGGCGAGGGAACACGCGTGCATACAACATGCACACATTCTGGCCCTGCCTACGAGATCCGCCGGGTGGTACCTCCGCTTTCGACACTCAGAGACCGTCTACCACCTACCGACAATCACAGCATCCAGAGCCAAGAGAAATAATTCTCTTGGGACGGGATTCAAACCCGCGCAGCGCACTGCGACTGATCAGGAGACCGAAGAGTCTACTACTGCGGCCACCGCCGCTGCCTAATTCTAGTTTCTTGAGCCTAAGAGCCATCTAGCAGTCACGTTGTGACTGGGCTATTAAACGTGAACTGAGACCTCTACAGTTCCAATAAACAGTAGCCATGCGCTCTCCGCAGTGGTAGGTTCTGGTGATAGATGGCGCTTTGCAACGTCTTATTTCGATAGACCGTACTCGTAGTCCCAGCAATGAGAGATCAAGCCTAGACCATGTTGATGAGTATCCAAAAAGCACAAAATAATTCTGACTGTCATTTGGTTGGACGGTTTAGCCTAATAAGCTCCATTTTAGTCGTGCAAGAAACACGAGAAAACTCTAGCTCAAGCCATGGCAAGTTCAAGATTTTAAATATTTGCTCGAGTACTGGGGTCACGAATTCCAGTGCAAAATGTTGGATGCAAAATTCTGTGACAAGATTGTGGAGTCTGAAGACAGGATCAAATCTGTATACAGTCCTTTAGGCACTATATGTGTGGGCGGCCCCCAAAAGCCAAATACTTGTTTTTTTGTTTTATGCAAAGTTGAAGAGAACAAAAAATGAATCAAGAACGTCCATGTCACAAGAACGCGTCACCAGTTTGTCCCTTTATGTCTATGGAGAGTGACATTTTGCAGCAATTGGAGTTTGACATCACTGAAGATTTTGCCCAAATGAAATCACGGAAAAAGCCCATAATATTGTTGCAAGGCAATTTGTAATTCAATAAATATGTTTTATTAGAAGCACGCCTGTCTTTGACTTTTTTGGGGGGCTCAAGCTCCTGTGGGCCCACGGCCCCCGCGTGGCTTAAGACGGCCCTGTATGTGGGGGGCTACAACAGACCCGTATAGGTCGCTGTGACGTCAGGGTGTTGTGCTAACTCCTTATTGTTAGCTAATCTAAGATCTCGGTCTGCTAACTTTTGGAATAAGGTAGGTATACTGGATCATAGAGGCGGAATACCTCTTGCCATGATGTATCAACCTCATGGTGGAAAGTTCCAAGTTCCATACTGTAAGTCAAAGAAACGTCGACATAATTTAAATTTTGATTATATGGGGTCAAAACCATAATTGACACATTCTCATTGACGAACGTAAATCACAATAGATATTGGAAAGGAATGTCATAAAGCAAAGGTTCATTGTCTGACCGCGTGGGCAGATTAATTCGTTTTGAGAAACTCTAACTACAACGAGCGGAATTTAAATTTATTAGTCATGGAACGTTAATACCTACAGACTTTATTGTTTAAAAATTACTACTCTCTTGCCTACTGTTAGTTGTTGTTGGCGATTATTGAGAAAGTTGCAACTACTTATATTATGTGTACTTAACCATCTAATCCATTCCTCGAATTCGGATGTGAATATTTCAGGACAATTTTAGAGCTATCAGAGCTAACATGTCAACTATTTACATATAATATGATGTTGCACCTATTATTTTTGCCCTTGCATTTTCCTACTATACATTACTTTTCTTGACATGTTCTTTGCATATCGTATCCTATAAAGTGAGTGATAGATCCATGATATCTCATTTAGGTTGTCCTAAATTAATAGTTGTTCGTGAAACGTAGAAGACAAATATACATGGTTTTGCATAAAAATGAGAAATAAAACAATAAATAATATGAATACCTTAAATATGTTCAAAGGATATCATAGTAGGTATCAGAAATACACAGAGATCGCCGATTGAAATAAAAAGATAACAGGGATTCGCAAAAGAACGTGTGTATAATTTTGAAACTGCTGCGGAGGAAGTACAATCTTTGCTTGACTACTATTTTCAATTTGTCAACTACAGTCGTAGAATAAAATCCTAAGCTAGCCAAGTAAAATATCCACTTACCAGAATTTAGGCCGTAAGCGTTTGGTGAAATGAGGCCTGATGTGACAGTAGCCATAGTCGACAACATGTAGATCCAGTCATTCCTGAAACAAAACAAAGAGATATTAAGATTCTTCTATCAGAAACAGAAAATTTCACTTAACCGAATTCATTGTAGTACTGATACCAGTTCCGCAATTATGAAATATTGTATTGATGATGTATTGAATGAAACTGTTACAATACCCTATTGCCTAGATTATTTATATATAACTACAGTTAAATGTCCCAAGTACAAATAAAAATCTTGTGTCACTCCTTATTCACACCAATAATCTTTACAGACAGTAGGGGATCAGGCCTCTGGGGCCCGAGGCAAAAGCTGTTTATGGGGCTGGATGGGCCGAGCATGCAACTAAAGGGGCCCAGCAGTAAAGCAAAACTCCCAACGATTCCCAACACGTAAAGTTCGTCTACTGTGGGTCGTGTGCGCCATCTTAGATTCGTCTCTGTTGATATACATATGTATATCAATAGGCTACTTGAATCATATCTAATTTCATAGAATAAATGGGTATTTCTTACAGTATTTGGCTAATGAAAACGACCTATATCGATTTCAATTTTCAGAAGCGCAAGATGGATATATAAGTCCAATTTAAAAAAATACATTTATTATTTTTAATACGAAGAAACAAAGAAACGTCATACGTGAACTAACGTTGCTTCTTTACTTATTTCTAACAAAACACCGTAAACAGTTGTCGACTTTGACACATTGTTGGTTGGTAATTTTTTTGCCTTCAACCCAGATTTCTTATCTACCTACTGAGCTGAAGAACATCGAGCCTTCTATGTTAGTGCATCTGATATAATGATAGACATAAAAAAAAGAATAAGTAAAACACTTACAGGATCTTTCTTTTTTGAAGTCATCCAAAACTAAGCTTACCTTTGAGGTTGTGTTTGAGAGTTGCTTATATTTATTTTCCTAGACATTCTAATCCCGAGCTTTTCTGAGGTCTTTATCCGTGTGTTTTTACATGTTCGGACGATACAATAACTATAATTACTATATTTTTCAAGTAAACTAGTGGACATCAGGCTTATATGCTTAAAAGTTTGAGAGGTTATGCTGCTGTCAGTGCACATTAATATGGGCCAAGCATGGCGGACAGCATTTTCGCCTGTCTAAGAAACATATATTTAAATTAACGTTCTACGGTCTTTAAGGTATTAAAAAATTTATTCTTTCTTTTTTGGTCGAATACAACAGATATTAAATATTTAAGACGTATTTAAACAAAGTGTCAACTATGCCATCGGGTTAAGAGTTTCCAGACCCTGTTGTACCCAGTACTGTATACAGGGTGTTCCTTGATGATATGCGAATATTTAAGGGTGTGAATCTACATGAAAAAATAATGTTAGTTTGCTTTATAAACTATGGTCCAAAAATGTTTCCTTACAATAACTCGGGGTGTTGAAGTTTTAGGAAAAAAAATGGTAATTAATATTTACAGAACCGCTTCAGATATTTCACTGATATTTAGTACGTAGTGAAAGTTAATAAAGTTGCGTATTTTTCAATGCAAAAATAATTTTTAGCATTAACAGTGGCGTGCGTACGGGTATTGACTACGATATTTTTTAAGAAAAAAATAGTACGCCAATGGTCTTTGCCAAATAAAAATTAATTTGAATTCCCGGTTCAATTTAAAACAAATGATCTCTCTTGAATTGTTTTCCGTCGATGCACCATTTTTAAGTAAAAAAATTAAAACCGTTCTATTATCCGAGAAAATTAATGTAATAATTGAAAAATGCAATTTAGCAATACATATCTAGTTGCTCTAGAATATGTCACTGGCTTTTGACATCTGACAAGTCTCTGTTATTCAAATCTGTTCGCTGAGACATCTTTTTCATTATTTAGTTTTTAATGGCGAACTATTCAAATGCAGAAATGACGGAAATGCATTACGTATATGGGCTTGCCGACGGTAATGGTGAGCAAGCCAGACGGATTTATCACCAGAGATATGCCGATCGTGCTTTGCCAGATAGTCGAACCTTTTCTAATATTCATCGTCGTCTTGTTGGAACTGGTTCTGTCCGAAAAGGAACATCTGAAGGTGACCTCTAGGCGTGAGAACACCTGAAATTGAGGAAGCAGTGCTGCACGAAGTCGAAGAACATCCTGAAACGAGTACGAGGAACTTAAATATTTGCGATCAAATTGTTTGGAGGATTTTAGTGGATTTTTTGTTATATCCTTTCCATATTTTAAGAGTACAGGCATTTTCCAAGGCGTGTGACCTTTTGTCAGTGGCATCTTCAAAAAATTACACAAAATCCGCAATTTGAACCAGTGATTCTGTTCACGGACGAAGCTAATTTTTCTCGAAATGCCATTCAGAATTTCCACAATAATCATTTGTGTGCAGAAGAAAATCCCTATGCCGTAACCCAAACCCATTTCCAACTCCAATTTTCGGTTAACGTATGGGCAGGAATTATTGGCAACCACTTTATTGGCCGATTCTTCCTGCCGGGACGACTTGACGGATAGACTTACCTCAATTTTCTTCAGCACCAGTTGCCTTTGCTGCTTGATGATGTTCCGTTAGTAATAAGAAACAAAATGTGGTACATGCCTGATGGTGCATCAGCGCATTTCAGTGTAGCGGTTCGAAATTATTTTCAAAGTGTTTATCCACATCGTTGGATTGGCCGCGGTGGGCCCCAAGAATGGCCACCAAGGTCCCCAGACCTCAACAGTTTAGATTTCTTTTTGTGAGGCTATCTTAAGATATTAGTGTACACAAGTCACATTAACACTGTAGAGGAATTAAGAGAAAGAATAGTTGCAGCTTGTGATAGGATAAAAAACACTCCAGGGATATTTCAACGAGTGCGCAATTCCATGAGAAGGAGGGCGGAAGCATGCATACTAAGTGAAGGGCCATTTTCAACAATTTTTGTAATCATTTCGTTGGTTTTAATGTTATGGTTATGTTGTCAGTTGTTGTTGTTCATTACCCCTGATGAGTTTAATTTTTCCAATTAAATTAATAATAATTTTGCAAGTTAGACAATAGAACGGTTTTTATTTTTTTACTCAAAAATGGCGCATTGAAGGAAAACAATTCAAGAGAGATCATTTGTTTTAAATTGAACGGGGAATTCTAAAATAATTTTTATTTGGCAAGAAACTATTGGCGTACCATTTTTTAAAGCTAAAAATTATTTTTGCATTGAAAAATATGCAGCTTTATTAACTTCCATTATGTACTAATATCAGTGAAATATTTGAAGCGGTTCTGAAAATATTAATTAATTTTCATTTTTTTTCCTAAAACTTCAACACCCCGAGTTTTTGTAAGCAAACATTTTTGGACCATAGTTTATAAAGCAAACTAACATTAATTTTTCATGTAGATTCACACCCTTAAATATTCGCATATCATTAAGGAACAAACTGTATAAGAACTACAGCAGAAACAAAGTAGGTCACAGTGGATCTTTAAGTTTTTTGGGAAAATTAGGTACGTTACCAAGCATCAAAGATTAATTTAGTTCATCTGGAGTGTACTTAGTCTTTTAAAATTTCAAGCTTTTTTGCTAAAGCAATAAAAGTTAGTATAATATACTCATAATCAGAAAAAGACTATTATTTTCACTAAAAATACACAGGGTGATTCCACTAAAACAAAAATACAAACTTATTTGATAGCACTTTTCCAAGGCATCCTGTAAAAAAAGAAATGCCTGACACACTTTGTATCTCACCCAAAAACTTTTGTATTTAACGCTCCTAAAGGAGCATGCTAAAAAGTTAAGAGGGGGGTTCAATTTATAACTTGGTATATGTAGCTGGCTCGCAATTCAAAGGGAAAGCCTTTATCTTGTCTTTATCCAGTGGACACAAGGAGTACTTATCCAGTACTCCGTTTCTGATAGTTGCCCCAATTGTCTCAAAGTCAAGTGAGATTTGTGGTATAGACCAAACAAGCCACGTGGAAGTTCAAAACTCCATATACTCTACATAGGAAATGCAACACAACTAAAAGCATCAGAATTTATTCCCAGTGATTTATTCATTACTTCCTTCTATTTCAATGTGTGGCACGGTAGCTGAACGGGCGTACATGTGTTAAAACCACGTCCATTCGAATAGGCCCACAATCAGCCACAGTCACAGTCGGCGCGTTTTTTCTTGTGATTTATTAAATTCCAGGTGACACCTATCGTAGTCTCGGTAGCCGGAATCAATTTAAATGCTAATATTTACATCTCTAGCACTCGATAAACTTCAGAAAAGTGGCTTGTAAAGATTCGTTGATTATGGTGTTTAGTATCCTCTACGAATGGCTTGGAATCGATATAAATGCCGAGAAGAATATAATTATATCATAAAAATATGGTATTATGAAATATCGGAAAGTATACAGAATTCTTGCTACGGACATAGAGGTCGGTAGTACCGATTTGAGGAGCAGTATCACCTACTCGCGTAATGCTATTATGTTTGGAAAGCTTTCTTTTCTACGATGCTGCTGAATCCGCCAAATTTCATGCGAATACACAATACTGTGGAGATAAGATAAGTTGTTAAAATGGTCCCAAATTTCTTCTTAAGGTGCATTTCCATTACAAAAAAATTGCGCCGCAAGATGTGACAGAAACAGAAACGATCTGCAACATGTTACGGCACAAACGCTGAGGACAAAACTGCAACAAGTTACGATCACGCTCAACATACACCTACATCATATTGCAGACCGTTTCCATTACTGGAGCATGTCCTCAACACTTTTGCACGCACAAAATCTTGCATCAGATACAGATTGTGAAGTAAATCTTCCTGGAGCATGTTGCACAACGTGTACTTGACGTTCTAGGGGTTGCAATATGAGCCCGGATCAAGTATCTGAAATTTTATTAAATTGATCCGTCCCTGTATCCACTGTCACTGCCAGAGTACTACTACACTATGGTGATCATATTAACAACTACTGTCATTCTGTGACAATTGAGCCTTTTTCATCAAGAGTTAACAAATGTCTCATAGACCTCCAGTCTATCCCACTGAACTAGTACATT